TTCACCATCGTTATTTAGTTTCACCAGCATCTATAGTATAAACCAATTTACCCGACAACCATTTCACCGACAGCCCTTTCGCCGACAAGCGGCGAGTTCTACAGAACCATTTTTAGCATACTGTATTTTCAATAGCTAACATATACTTCAAAATGTAAACTCAGTATTGTCATCCTCAAAGCATCCGCCTGAGACACTTTTTTCGCGTTTTTGGATAATGTTTAAATCTATTGTCTATGGTGGACGTCAACGAAAATCCACACCGGACAATATGAACATTGAATATGATATTGAATCTCCTCAGATGGACTTATCCTTAAATCTGCCGTGGTGGGGACCACACCATTTGGATATTAGTTTATTTAGATCATGTTTAGAAATCCATGGACCAAAAATTTTTGTTGATTTGATTATAGAGGTTGTTTAATTTCCTTTACATGTGTTTTTTTTATGGAAATTGTTTATGGTCTAACAATTAACGAATTAAAAATGGATTCTTAGGATATACTTACTACTAGTCAAAAAGGTGTTGGCCACCGAGCTGGTAATTATTATTATTGTGATTTTAGTTTAATTTACCATTTGATATAAAATAATAAATAGTTTGTAATATTAATACAATTTTAGCCGAACTTGGTGCCTCATTAATTACGATCCCTTTGTGCTATACATGGAGTGCACATCTTCATCCCAACAATCTCATTTACATCTTTTTTTCGGATGTGCTTGTTCGTGTGCTTGACAAAAAAGTTACCTTGTATGTACAAGGACAAGCTTTAGGAATAATGGCTTTATTTGTATTAATCACTTGGAACATTCAGTCTAAAGCGTCTACGAAGATTGGTGGTAAGGGTATTTATGAAGCCTTTATTGAATTTATATTACCAAAATTTCAAAACCAAAAAAATGACAATGAAAATGGCATAAGCCAACATAAAGAGACATGGAGTAAACTTATGTATGGACCTACAAGAGGGTTTATTGATAGTTTGATCTCTAATAATGATCTTATTGAAGAAATGCCACAATTGGCTGCGTTTAAAGGTTAAAATCACAAGAATTTTCCGAATCTTTGTCAATTCCAGCGAGTGCTCGCTTGAATATTGTTGGTGTCAACTCAATCAGAATTCGAG